GCAAGGGAGGTGCAGGTCTTACCAAGACCTTGGAGTCCAAATTCAGCCCTTGCTCTGGGTTAGTGCTTAGCATCCCTGGTGGCGTTTGGTCATATCAAGGTAGGGGTGGGGCCATCTGTGGTGGTCCCCTCCACTCTCCCACCCATTCCCTGTGATGCGGTTTGTTTTTTTTTTTTTAGACAGTCTTGCTCTGTCGCCAGGCTGGAGTTCAGTGGCGTGATCTCGGCTCACTACAACCTCCAACTCCCTGGTTCAAGCTATTCTCCTACCTCAGCCTCCTGAGTAGCTGGAATTACAGGCACACGCCACCATGCCCAGCTAATTTTTGTATTTTTAGTAGAGACTGGGTTTCACCATGTTGGCGAGCATGGCCTCAATGTCCTGACCTTGTGATCTGCCTGCCTTGGCCTCCTAAAGTGCTGGGATTACAGGCGTGAGCCACCGCGCCCGGCCGTGGTGCTCATTCTTGCACTTCAGTCAGAGTGGCCAAGAGCCGGGATGTTTACTCCCATATGAGATGAGTCTGCAGAATTCCAGACTTCTTCAAAAAAGAAACAAGACTGACAGCTGGTAGCTTCCTGAAAGTCTGAGATCACAGAAAACTGACCTAGAAAGGAGAGAAAGGAGGACACCCCACCTAGCCTGGGTCCCAGCTGGGTTCCCAGGACACATCTAACCCAGAGATCTCAACCTGAGCTAGGAAAATGTTTTTAACAGCTTTATTAGGGTATAATTTACAGACTACAAGACTCACCTGTTTTAAGTATACAATTCTATCACGCCTGTGATCCCAGCACTTTGGGAGGCAGAGGCAGATGGATCACCTGAGGTCAGGAGTTCAAGACCAGCCTGACCAACATGGTGAAACGCCATCTCTACTAAAAATACAAAATTAGCTGGGCGTGGTGGCGTATGCCTGTAATCCCAGCTACTTGGGAGGCTGAGGCAGGAGAATCCCTTGAACGTGGGAGGCAGAGGTTGAAGTGAGCTGAGGTCGCGCGTCGCACTCCCACCTGGGCAACATTAGCGAAATTCCATCTTAAAAAAAAAAAAAAAAAATTAGCTGGGCATGGTGGTGGGCACCTGTAATCCCAGATATTCGGGAGGCTGAGGCAGGAGAATCATTGAACCAGGGACGTGGAGGTTGCAGTGAGCTGAGATCGTGCCACTGCACTCCAACCTGGGAGAGACTCCGTCTCAAAAATAAATACATGTACAATTCTGGCTGGGCACAGTGGCTCACACCTATAATCTCAGCACTTTGGAAGGCTGAGGCAGAAGGACTGCTTGAGCCCAGGAGCTAGAGACCAACCTGGACAAGACCTTGTGTCTACTTAATAATAATAATAAGTAAATAAATAGGCCAGGCGCGGTAGCTCATGCCTGTAATCCCAGCACTTTGGGAGGCTGAGGCGGGTGGATCACTTGAGGTCAGGAGTTCGAGACCAGTCTGGTGGTGAAACCCTGTCTCTACTAAAAATACAAAAATTAGCCAGGTGTGGTGGCACGTTCCTGTAATCCCAGCTACTGGGGAGGCTGAGACAGGAGAATTGCTTGAACTCAGGAGGTGGAGGTTGCAGTGAGCCAAGATTGCACCATTGCACTCCAGCCTGGGGGAAGAAGCGAGACGCTGTCTCAAAAATGAATAAATAAATAAACAATTCCATTTTTTTTCTTTTGTAAATGTATAGAGTTATACAGTTGTCACCACAGTTCCGTTTTAGAACATTTCCATTACCCTAAAAGATTTCTTGGGCTTGTTTGCAGTCAGTTCCTGTTGCCACTGTCAGCCCCCAGTAACCACTGGCCTGCTTTCTGTCTCTATAGAGCTGCCTTTTCTGGACATTTCATAGAAAGAGAATCACACAGATGTAGTCTTTTACAGCTTGCATCTTTCACTTTGCATTATGTTTTTGAGCTTCATCCGTTTTGAAGCATGTATCAGTAGCTGATTCTTTTTTTAATGCTGAATAGTGTTGCATTATACAGCTATACCACATTTTGTTTGTTTACCAATTGATAGTTGGATTGTTTCCACGTTTTGGCTGTTATGAATAACACTCCTATCAACATTCAGGTACAAATGCATTCATTTTCCTTTTCTCTGGGTAGACCCTTAGGAGCAAAATTGCTGTATGGGAAATTTGTGTTCAACTTTTTTGTTGTTGTTTTTAAGATGGAGTCCTGCTCTGTCACCCAGGCTGGAGCGCAGCAGCGTGATCTTGGCTCACTGCAACCTCTGCGTCCTGGGTTCAAGCAATTCTCCTGTCTCAGCCTCCTGAGTAGCTGGGATTATAGGCGCTCGCCACCACACCCAGCTAATGTTTTTATTTTTAGTAGAGTTGGGGTTTCACCATGTTGGTCAGGCTAGTCTGGAACTCCTCCTGACCTCAGGTGATTCGCCCACCATGGCCTCCCAAAGTGTTGGGAGTACAGCACCGTGCCGGGCTGTGTTCAACTTTTAAAGAAACTGCCAAACTATTTTCCAAAGCAGCTGTACCATTTTACCTTTCTACCAACAATGTGTGAGGGTGGTAATTTCTCTGCGACACTTGTTAGTGTTAGTCCTTTTTTATCCCATCCTACTACAGGACTTCTTTTTACAAAAAACACCCACCAATGCCCCGGCTCCATCCCAAACCAATTAAACCAGAAGCTTGGGGTCTGGGGCCCAGGCACAGGTGTTCAAAACAAAACAAAAACCTCCTGACTTTATTTATTTATTTATTTATTTGAGACAGGGTTTCACTCTTGTCACCCAGGCTGGAGTGCAGTGGCGCGATCTCGGCTCACTGCAACCTCCACCTCCTGGGTTCAAGGGATTCTCCTGCCTCAGCCTCCCGAGTAGCTGGGATTACAGGCATGCGCCACAACACCCATCTAATTTTGTATTTTTAGTAGAGATGGGGTTTCTACATGTTGGTCAGACTGGTCTCGAACTTCCAACCTCAGATGATCCGCCTGCCTCTGCCTCCCAAAGTGCTGGGATCACAGGTATGAGCCACTGCGCCCGGTCAACTCTCGACTTTAAAAGCTGCTAATGTGCAGAAGGTTTGGGAACCAGCAATCTAGCTTCAGGTCTGAAGTTGTGTCCTCCAGGGCACTGGGAGAGAGCTCCAGCTGGCCAACAGCCTCTCCCACACCAGGAAACACATAGGTGGGAGACAAGACACCCCCACAAGAAGGCATATGCAGGGACCCAGAGTAGACCGGCCTGCTGGAAGGTGAAATAGAAGGGGCCTGGGTGTGGGTTAGGTCAAGGAGTCCCAATTTCTGCTCAGCCCACTGAGATCCTGTCGGGGCACCTCCCATGACCTTAGGCATCTCTCAGGCCTCTGGGGAGATTAGGGAAGTATGACATTCTTGGCTGCAGACCAGCTCCAGATAACTCCGGCTAAATGCAAGGAAATGGGTGGTACCAGCAGGAAGCATAGAGCTTAGAGGCTCAGCCGGGGATTAGATCAGGGCTACAGAGTGCACCATAAAAGCTGCTCCTTCTGAAGGGTGTAGGGATGATGATAACACCCCATCTTGAATTCAACAAACATCTCATCTCTTTTTTTTTTTTTTTTTGAGATGGAGTTTCGTTCTCTCACCCAGGCTGGAGTGCAGTGGCGTGATCTCAGCTCACTGCAACCTCCGCCTCCCAGGTTCAAGTGATTCTTCTGCCTCAGCCTCTTGAGTAGCTGGGACTACAGATGCCCGCCACCATGCCTGGCTAATTTTTGTATTTTTAGTAGAGACGGAGTTTCACCATGTTGGCCAGGCTGGTCTCGAACTCCTGACCTCGTGATCTGTCCGCCTCGACCTCCTAAAGTGCTGAGATTACAGGCATGAGCCACTGCGCCTGGCCGTCTTGAATTCAGCAAACATCTATTGAGCTCTTTCTGTGTGCCAGACCCTGTGCTGGGCACTGGACATACAGCCAGGAATGAGTGGCAGGCTCCTGTCCCTGCCCTGGGGAGCTTACAGTCTACTGGAAGAAACAGGCAATAAAGAATTAAACAAACAGAATGACAGGTAATGACACAGGGGGGGTCTCTCTGTGGGGGTGACATTTGAGTAAGGATATGAGTAACTCTGCACAGGTATGTGTGTGGGACGATGTGTCTAGTGGAGAAAAGAATTAAGGAAAGCCTGAGGCTGAAGGCAGTTGGTGTGTTGCCAACAGTGGTAGAAGACGGGCCTGGAGAGGAAGGTAGGCAGGAGCTAGATCACCTGCAGCGTTTACAGGGGTCGTGGCCAGAGTCTGGGTTTTATTTTGTGTGTGATGGGGAGGATGTTGAGCAGGGTAGAAAAATTCTATGATTTCCACTTTAAAAAATATCACTTAGATTGATGCAGAGAGACTAGACCTAGGAGAAATGGTGAGACAGGGAGATGAGGCAGGTTGTCCCCGTAATCAGTGAAAATGGCTTGGAGCGGTGTTGGTGCTGATGGAGAGAACTGTATAGATGTGGGGCATCTTTTCTTTCTTTTTTTTTTCGAGGCAGAGTCTCGCTCTCTTGCCCAGGCAGGAGTGCAGCGGCACAGTCACAGCTCACTGCAGCCTTGACCTCCTGGGCTCAAGTGATCTTCCCACCTCAGCCTCCCAAGTAGTTGGGACTACTGGCGCGTGCTACCACACCTGGCTAATTATTATTTTTGTTTTGTTTTGTTTTTTTGAGACGGAGTCTCGCTCTGTTGCCCAGACTGGAGTGCAGTGGCGCGATCTCAGCTCACTGCAAGCTCCGCCTCCCGGGTTCACGCCATTCTCCTGCCTCAGCCTCCTGAGCAGCTGGGACTACAGGCGCCCGCCACCTCGCCCGGCTAGTTTTTTGTATTTTTAGTAGAGACGGGGTTTCACCGTGTTAGCCAGGGATGGTCTTGATCTCCTGACCTCGTGATCCGCCTGTCTTGGCCTCCCAAAGTGCTGGGATTACAGGCGTGAGCCACCGCACCCGGCCTAATTATTTTTTGTAGAGACAAAGTCTCACTATGTTGCCCAGGCTGGTCTTGAACCCTGGGCTCAAGTGATCCTCCCGCCTCAGCCTCCCAAAGTGCTTTGATTACAGGCATAAGGTGGGGCATCTTTTGGAGTTAGGGACACCGGGATTTGCTGATGTGGGGTGTAACAAAAAAAGGAAGTCAAGGATGACTCCTATATTTTTGACTTGAGCACTGGGTAAAGCTGGTGCCATGACGAGTGATAGAGAAGCTTGGAAAGGGAGCAGGTTTGGTACTTAACTGGGGTTGGAGGGAAGCTAAAATATGGATCTAGCTGGTGGAAGAGAGGAAGAAGGCCAGAGGGCGGTGACATCCTCATGATTCCTGGCTAAGGGTTGGCAATCCTTGTTAGATCAAAGCCTGCATTATGTGGAGGACTCCAAAGACTGCAGTATTAGGGCACGTGGAAAAATTCGAGTTGGATTATGTTGGCCACTTCTTGTAACATTTCGGCAGGTCCTGCAGAAAAGGGACAAGCTTGGGCTGAAGATGGTGGCCTATCCTTATTATCAAAGGAAAAAATCCCTACCTTTGGGGCCCCCTCCCTTCACTTACTTTGAAATGTTGTGACTGGCCTATGAAATCCAAACATCTAGACAGCACTGCTATGGATCCTCCACCTCTTCCTCAAAACAAGTAGAGGCTGGAAAGCCCACGGGGAGTATAATGAAAGCACAGACGGTTATGAGGCTTAGAGGACCACAGACAGAGGGCCGCATGAGTCAGTCAGCTAGCAGACTGACAGAGGCATAGAAACTGGGAAGGAGGGTGGGATATGAAGAAGAAAAGAAAAAGGAAGTCAGAGAGAGAGTGAGCTGCCCAAGGTTGACATCCAAGCCCCGATGGAGAGGCACCAGGTGTGGGGATACAATGCCCTAGAACCGAGGACCCTGGGAAAGCCACACCTCGTACGGAACCTTAGAATCCTTGAGTTTCAAATCCGGAAGTGACTTCAGACACCAAATGGCCCGTTCTTCACACAGAAAAGGGACTGGTCTTCAAGGAGGAAACTGGAAAGAAAGAAGAAAACAACAGTTCTCCCAGCTTTAGAAATCACGGAAAGTCAGTCCACAGCTTTGCCCTGGCTGAACTCAGCAAGCCCCACTCCTTTAGATCCCTTTTTCCCATTTGGTAAATGTCCAGCCCTCATGCAGACTGTTCTGTCCAGCTGCATTCTGGAAACAGATGATCATTTCGCCTGTCTGGAGAGATGTAATCGGGGTCTTCCTGGCCTGAGATCTGTCCCCAGATACTCCTCCTCTCATTCCAACTGGGTCCCCTGTCACAGGTCCCCAGATGCAGCCATGCTGACCAACACAGGCACATGAGCTGTGGTGTTCATGAGCTCAGGCGCAGTGAGGAGAAGGGGGTCACTTCCTGAGAGGTAGCGTGGGTGGGCATTGGGGGTGGGGAATGTGCAGGAGAGGAGATGGGCTGACGCAGCTTCTCCAAGCCATGCAGAGATCCAAAGAAAACATAGCTGAGGCACAGCGGGGGAGGAGGGAGCCAGGGCAGTGCATGTTGACATGGTGGGCAGCAATCCAGCTTGGCCTTCTGTGGTCAGTGGAGCCCGTGTTTACTTACTTGGACCAGTTATTTCCTCGTACTGAACCTCAGTTTCCGAATCTGCAAAACAGGGTCAATAATAGCTATCTCAAGGCATTGCTGTGAGAGTTAAATGGGATAATGAAAAACAGAGAGAGAGAGAGAGAGAGAGAGAGAGAGAAACCTAGTTAAAAGCATGGGCTCTGGGGCCAGACTGACTTGAGCTTTTAACTGCTGGGCCTCGGTTTCCTTATCTGTAAACTGAGGGTGATGATACCTATCTTGTAGGATGTTATGAAGTGGAAGTGAGTTAATATTTAGAATCAGTTTCTGTCCAAGTGTAGTGGTATGTAATCCCAACACTTAGGGAGGCCAAGGCAGGCAGATCGCTTGAGACCAGGAGTTTGAGATCAGCTTGGTCTACAGTGAGATTCTATCTCTACAAAAAGTCTTTAAAAGTTAGCTGAGCATGGTGGTACATGCCTATAGTTCCAGCTACTCGGGAGGCTGAGATGGGAGGATTACCTGAGCCCAAGGAGGATGAGGCTGCAGTGAGCCATGATCATGCCACTGCCTTCCAGCCTGGGTAACAGAGTGAGACCCTGTCTCAAAAAAAAAAAAAAAAAAAAAAAAGAAAAAAGAAAGCAAAAGACCCTTTCTGTTTTGGTTAAAGCATGTTAAAACTATTTAAAACTAATAAATCAAGGCAGGCACGGTGACTCATGCCTGGTGGATCCCAGCACTTTTGAGAGGCCCAAGGCGAGAGGATTGGCTGGACGCCCAGTGAATTCTAGACCCAGCCTGGGCAACAAAGGTGAGAGCGCCCTACCGTCCCTAGGTTCCGCGCTACGTTTATCACTTTAATCCTCCCACTGCACCCAGGGAGTAGTAAGTATCCAGATCATCCTTTTAATAGATGTGGTCTGATGATCAATAAGTGTTTTTTTGTTTGTTTGTTTGTTTTTTTTCAGGACGGACTTGCTCTGTTACCAGGCTGGAGTTACGCAGTGGCACACCGTAATCGTAGCTACTTATGCCTCGAGTCCTGGGGCTTAAGCGATCCTCCTGGCCTCCAGCCCCTAAAGTGCTGAGATTATTAGGCATGAGCACATGCCTAGGCCCCAGAAGGATTTGGGTTTCATTTCCTCTGGAACCAGGGTTGGTTAACTATGTGCCTGTGTTGCTAAGCTCCAGCCCCGGCCTGTTCGTTTAGAATTGTTATAGCTTGGCTTCATACTAAAAGTGTTAGTCTGGCAGCTGGCTGATTAGAGACCACAGGTATGGAAAGCGCCTAAAATACGTTATCTTTGGCCTTTTCAGGAACACTTGCTGAACATTGTTCTTAGAAAAAAGCAGAATGACGCGGTGCCGGTGGCTCACGCCTGTAATCCCAGCACTTTGGGGAGGCCGAGCAGTGGGCGGAGCACAGAGGGTCAGGAGATCGAGGAACCATCCTGGGCTAACAGGTGAAACCCGTCGTCTACTAAAATATACAAAAACTTAAGCCAGGCCTCGCTTGGCTGGGCGCCTGTGTAGGTCCCCAGCTACTTGGAGGCTGAGGCAGCGAGAAATGGCCGTGACCCGGCGAGCTGCAGAGCTTGCCAGTTGAGCCGAGATCACGCCACGCCCACTCAACCTTGGGCGAGTAAAAGCAAAAATTCCGTCTCAAAAAAAGAAAAAAAAAAGAAAAGAAAAAGGCAAGAAAACAGGAACTTTGGCTATCCTGGTTCCTTTACAGGGACACAGCTGACTGACATTGTTCTTAGAAAAAGGGCAGAAGCAAGGCTTGTGCTATCCTGGTTTTTATTTTTTTGTTTTTGTTTTTTTAACCGCAGTATTGTTGTGTGCGGGTACACAACTTGAGGTGGAAAGCCATTTCTTTTCCTGTTCCCTCTGAGGGCCTGGGAAGCTCTGCCTTGGCTCTTCAAGAGTCCAAGGATGAAGCCGGGACAGTGCGCTCATGCCATGTAATCCCCAAGGCACTTTCAGAGGCCCAAGGTGGGAGATTCCTCCTGAGGGCCAGGACGATGGAGACCTGAGGCCATTGAGTAAACATACGGCAACGGACCTCATCCTCTAGCATAAAAAAAAAAAAAAAAAAATACAAGCATTAGTCAGTTGTGCTGGTGCACACCTGTAGTCCCAGCTACTCTGGAGGCTGAGGTGGGAGGATTGCTTGAGCCCAGGAGGTCAAGACTGCAATGAGCCAAGATTGGACCTCTGCACTCCGGCTTAAGAGGCAGAGCAAGACTCTGCCTCAAAAGACAAACAACAACAAAACCAAGAGTGAAAGTGCGAAGGAACTTGGGGATTTGGCTCTCTCCATGTCTCAAGCCCAGTGATGAGGACTCGAGGCGGCTGCCAGATCCCATCCCACACGGCACACCTGCTGACATCACTCTTACGTGTGAGGGTTGTGTGCACCATGTTTCACAGGAAAAGGGAAATCCATGTAACAAAGATGGGCAGGTTGAGTGGGGAAGGCCCTGGATTCAAGACCAGTGACTGTACCTTCTCCTCCCCCAGCCCAGGTCAGGGCTGTATTTATTTATTTATTTATTTATTTAGAGACAGAGTTTCACTCTTGTTGCCCAGGCTGAGGTGCAATGGTGTGATCTCGGCTCACTGAAACCTCTGCCTCCTGGGTTCAAGTGATTCTCCTGCCTCAGCCTCCCAAGTAGCTGGGATTATAGGCACCTGCTTCCACATTCGGCTAATTCTGTATTTTTAGTAAAGATGGGGTTTCACCATTTTGGTCAGGTTGATCTTGAACTCCTGACCTCGGGTGATCCACCTGTCTCAGCCTCCCAAAGTGCTGAGATTACAGGCATGAGCCACTGTGCCCGGCTGGTAAGGGCTGTGTTTAGGGTCAATTGAACTGAGGCTAACATGGTACAGGAGGAGATAAAGGATCTGGGTTGGCATAGGGATCACCTGCTGCCCAAGGACATTCAAGGACTTCAAACCAGTTCAATCACTCAGTAAATATTTATTCAGTACCTACTATGTGCCAGGCATGGTTCTAGGCACTAAGGACACAGTGTTGAACAAAATTCCAGCTCTCACAGGGACAGACAACAAACAAGAAAGGAAATATTCAATAGTAATAAGATCTATAAAGAAAATAAACCAGGCTGATATGATTGAGAACAACTAATAGATAGGCAGGCAGGGAAGGCCTCTCTGAAAAAGCATCATTTAAACTGAGACAAAATGCCGGGGGTCATGGCTCATGCCTGTAATCCCAGCACTTTGGGAGGCCGAGGCGGGCAAATCACTTGAGGTCAGGAGTTCGAGACCAGCCTGGCCGACATGTGAAATCCCATCTCTACTAAAAATACAAAATTAGCTGGGCGTGGTGGTGCCTGTAATCCCAGCTACTCAGGAGACTAAGGTAGGAGAATTGCTTGTACTCTGGAGGTGGAGTTTATAGTGAGCCGAGATCGCACCACTGCACTCCAGCCTGGGTGACAGAGTGAAGCTCCATCCCAAAAAATAAATAAACAAACTGAGACAAAATGACAAGGAAGATCAGGTGGAAAAGCATTCCAGGTAGAGGGAACAGCAAATGCAAAGGCCCTGAGCAAGAAGAACTTGAACATTCAAGGAACAGAAAAACCAGTGTGACTGGAGTTGAATGCAAAGGGCAAGAGAGGTGAGAGGTGAGCGAGAGAGAGGAGGCCCTATCACATGCTGGGGAATCAGGGTACCGAGGCAGGAGTCTTTTCCAGTATAGTGAAAAGTCACTGATGGCTGACAATGCTAATAATTGTAGCTAACATTTTTTGAGCCCTTAGGAGATGCCAAATACTTATTAAACCCTTTCAATGCATTAACTCATTTAATCCTCACAAGCAATCCTAAGAGGGAGGTGCTTGGATTATCCTCATCTTAAAGATGAGGAAACTGAGACCCAGAGGGGTTAGGCCACTGGCCAGTGAATTGCATGTAAGAGATAAAAATGATACAAAGATGAAGCCCAGATTTATCTGGGTACACAGCTGAGGCTAGAAAAGCCTTTTTTTTCCCGTCCCTTTGATTGCTGGGAAGCCTCTCCTTCACTCTTCAAAGCCAGGAAGAGTGAGGCCAGGTGAAGTGGCTTACGCCTGTAATATCAGTATTTTGGGAAGCCAAGATGGGAGGATCTTTTGACGCCAAGAGATTGAGACCAGCATGGGCAACATAGCGAGAAATATTTCAGCTAAGAAAACGAGAGGAAGCCTGGGCACAGTGGTTCACACCTGTAAACCCAGCACTTTGGTAGGTCAGGAGTTCGAGACCAGCCTGGCCAACATGGTGAAACACCATCTCTGCTAAAAACACAAAATAAGCCAGGCGTGGTGGTGTGCGCCTGTAATCCTAGCTACTC